TATAGTCCTTGTCCTACCCGTTCGGCTAACGACCCTCCACCAGTCAAGGAAGCGGTGGGTGAGAGTGGACACCCATTAAACTGCCATTTTATAGGCAGTAACCTTATACCCCCTTATAGACCGGCTTCGTGAATGAGGCTTACTAACGGTAAGACTGACTTACTCTTATACATATATATAAATATTAAACTTATAATATTATAATAGTATAAGGGTGTATTTTAGACATTTAAAATACTTGGTGGTTTAATCTATTAATTAAACTAGACTTTTAATTTAATTAAACTCAAACCATATATTTATGGATTTAATAATACTCTTTTAATTAAACTCTTTAATTAACTATTAATAAAGTCCATAAGAGTTAATTTGAACTATTCAACAAAACATCATAATTTCAATTATTAAATTCAAAATTAAAACCATTTAATTAATTGTTTAAGTTATGAACCCAAGAGTTTTAGAATTCAATTTTTTTTCATAAAAAACTTTTTTCAAATTCCAAAACTTGAGGGCAAGTTTTGTAACTCTTGAAAACTTTTGGATTCCATAACTTATGGAGTTAAATGTTTGTTTTATGATGAAACTTTTCATGTTCCATAACTTAAAACAAGTTATGGAATTCTTCAAAACATTAACACCAAGTTTTGTAACTCAATAAAAAACTTTGAATCAATTTTTTTAAAAAACTTTCATATCCATAACTTATGGAGGTTTAAAAAAAACCTCTTTAGATCAAACTTTTAAAACTAATAAAATAATCATATCATTTTATCTTTTACTAAATTTGACATAATTCAACTCATATAGCAAATGATTCAAATTTTACAAATAATTAGTTTTCCACAAAACAATGTAATTATCTTAATATTTGAAAGACTTCATGTTTTTTTTCTTTTTTTTTTCAACTTTGAAAATCAAACATTTGCATCAATATAACAGAAAACAACCCATGGCTCTGATACCACTGTTGGGTTTTGCATACTACAACATCCTATGGTGCACATACAACCCTAAATACCTTGGATCTATGTTTTCACTAATTATACATGAAAATGGTTTCCAAGGCATTAAACCTATAACTAGCATGCATTTGACATAAACCATATAAGATACTAGTTAGAGTAACATACCTTTTATGTAGCTTGAAGTCTTGATGTATTTGGCCTTAAGAGCTTAGCCCCAATAGTGTGGAAGCCTCAAATGAAGTCACAACACACCTAGGACAAAGGTGGAACTTGAGATAGAATTCCATGCACCCAAAAACACCCATGAACTCCAAGAACTTCATGTGTAACCACAAGTGGCATTTTTTAGGTCATGATGCATGTATTTATATGTGTGGTATTTCAAGAGTCATGGGTATAACCCAAATCCATACCCATGGGTTTTATGATCCATGTTTCATGTGACCCAACTCTTTATGTATCCATACATAAACTTGGTCCAACATGGATCATAAGCCCAACACATATAAATATAACTAATTACCATAATTAGTCCCCATAGATTTAATTAGTCTTCTTTGATCACAAATTAATTCCAAATTAATTCTTGATCAATACTAATTCAAACATATGATTTCATATTAATATATTATAACTTATAATATATTAATGAATCATATATAACCTTTCTCTCAAGAGTCCATCCTAACAAATTGTCCTGATGATATGCAACCCAAATGGACCATGCTACTCTCGGGTCGAGTACATACCAATAATAGTTATGGGCTTAGACATCTAATCCAACACTTATAATCATAAAGTTTCAGCCTTTAGCATGATAGTGTATTTCCCTTGCCTAGAATCTCTTATTTAGCTTGATTTAAGTCATTATCACCTTACATGTACGTAAAATTTGCAACTTTACGTAAGAAGTATGCCTTAGGAGCTTAGATCTATGTTGTGGAGCTTTGGAATGGCTTAAAAAGCATCTGAATGGAGAAAGGACTAAAGGGACTTGACGAGTTGCATGGTCAACTCGACGAGTCTGATGAAGATTGTCGTGCATGGACTCGACGAGTCAGTAGGATAACTCGGCGAGTCAGGTAGGGTTTTCCCGACATTTGGACATACATGAACTCAGCGAGTTGCAGGGAAACTCGACGAGTCAATGGGGGATTTCACGACTTCTCGAGTTCAGGAAGGACTCGACGAGTCGGGGGAACTCACTAAGCTTTGGCTTATAGTTTTTAGTTGTGGTGTCAGGTACTTCGGATGATCGCGGGAATGCGAAAACGTGACCGTACACATCCTCTGTTTTATGTACTTTTGATCTATGAGATACTCTGATATGGAACAATATTTTGAAAACAATGATTTTGTAAACATTCTATGATTTGACGTTGTTTTAAAACGCTTAAATTTCTTGTGATTTTAATGTATATTACAAAAATATCTAAGAAATAAGAAAAAATAAACATGATAAAAAATTTATAAAAATAATTTTTATTTTGTGTAATATATATATATATATATATATATATATATATATATATATATATATATAGGAGGGTTCAATTGAGAAAAAAAATGTTGAGAATAAGGGAATCATTCTCAGCCACACATTTATTTTGCCGCAAAACACTTAGGCGTACTGACGGAAATGGATAACGGATAAACATGTGTTTTCCAACCAAACACATGTTTCCTTAAACTACTCTAATCATTACCTTAATATACACAAAAACATATTTCTTTTGTTTTGTTTTTTTTTTTTTTTTTTATTTTTATTTTTAGAAAGCTATTTTTATCGAAAAATTATTTTAAATATATCAAAATTCATAATTTTTGATTCTCTATAAATAGACATCCATATTGATATGGTTTTAAGATAAAATAAAAAATTTATTTTTTTAGAGTTTCAGCTCTCATTATTCATAAGTGAATAAAAATCCATCAGATTTTTATTACAGTACATTCGTTATTCACTTATCAATAAAACGTATGTTTAACTTTTTTTATAGTTTGAGTATTGTTCATATATGAATATAACACGTAATAAAGTTTTCTTACTTCAAATATATTTTACATCATCTTTCGTCATATATTATATTTATATATGAATAAAATATGTATTAGTTGTCGTCATATTTTATATTCATATATGAATAAAACATTTATCAGGTTTTTGTTACAGTTAATTTGCTATTCATATATGAATAAGTAGTATAATGGATACTTAAACTGTAAAAACAATTAATCATATTCTTTTATTCATAAGTGAATAACGAATGTACTGTAGTAAAAATCTGATGAATTTTTATTCACTTATAAATAACGATAGCTGAAACTATAAAAAAAATAAAAATTTTAATTTATCTTAAAACTATATCAATATAGATGTCTATTTATAGAGAAAAATTATGAATTTTGATATATTTAAAATCATTTTTCGATAAAAATAGCTCCTTAAAAATTAAAAAACGATAAAAACTATGTTTTTGTATATATTAAGATAATGATTAACATAGTTTAAGGAAACATGTTTTGTTGGAAAAAACATGTGTATACCTTTCCCATTTCCGTCGATACGATGGAGGTTTTTGCGGCAAAAATAAATGAGTGGTTGAGAATAATTCACCAATTCTCAACCTTTTTTTATTTTCTCAACTGAACTTACCTCTCTCTCTTTGTGTGTGTGTGTGTATATATATATATATATATACATACATACATACATACATACATACATACATACATGTCACTTGTTTTAATAAAAAATAGCCCTAATATGTATCTATATTTTCTATAATGAAATTTATATAATTTTTTTTAAAAAATCGGGTATCTTAAAATTCACTCGACCCAACCCTGAAACCCGAATACCCGAAATTCAATTTGGTTCGAGTATCGGTTATAGTTTCACTTGATATTTATCTGAAAAACCCGCCCCGAAAATACCCGAAACCTGACGGGTATACCCGAACAACAGACCTAGTGCAACTGGCGTTTTTCTATTTCATTTGAGGGTTTGCAAACCAAATCTATTTCTTTTGACATAGTTTTGTATAGATTAGGTTTTTGTATTTGGTTTTTATGGATTTTTTTTTGAATCTGATTCAAATGTAATTTTTGTTTTCATGTTATTAGAGCCGACATCTCGTGTCCTGTGGTTCAGCACATCCATGTCTAACTCGGGGAATGATAGTGTATCTCACATATGTGCGACACGGTCTTATAAATGACTATATATATGTTGGAGTCCCCCTCCTGTCTACAAAGACTCTTTTGGAGAGTTAATATGGGGATCCACATATATCTACATGTGGTCCTCGAGAGGGAATTGATAGTTTCGGGTCTTATCCTAGGGCCGAAAAGACAAACTATGATGCTTTATCATGTAATTGAGTTACATTGTATATCACCAATTTCCCACATTCTTGTGGTAATCATGAATTAGGGGAGCTTTTTGGGATACATGGCACAATGACATATATGTTTACCTCCAAAGAACTTGTAAGTTGGCAAAACGTTTTTGTTTTGCCAGATTTTTGAATGTGGAAAACATTGAAGATCTTGCTAGAAATCTATGTACCATTTGGATTAGCATTCGTTTTTCTGAAATGAATGTTTTCCAGAGTTAGATATTCAACATATTGGTGGTGCTTCGATTAGAATAGAATTGGAATTGAGTTTTGAAACTCATTGTTGAATAGTATTGCTAGAAATTGGAGGTGTGCTGCTTTCTATGTGGAGTTCAATCTCGTTTCATTTGAATATTTTGATTGCTAGCAAAATGGGGTGAGGTGGTTTGCACAATTGCACTTAACCAACTTAACGGGGTAACCTTTTTAGCATAAAGGGTTGTGTTAAAACCAACCATTTGTAACATATTTTGGGCATTTTTTGAAGAAAAAAAAACGATAACATTCAACATATCTCCCCTGAGAGAGAGAGAAGAGAATTGATTATTTTCTAAGATTTTTGACACAATTAAATAAATAGATTTTTATACCACCTTACTCCGAAATGGTCCCAGGTCAAGTTGTTAAACACTTAAATGTGATCACTTCGAAACCGAATATACGAGTCCCAGTTTAGATCGACATGTTTCCTCTAAAATAAATCAAACAATACTTCTTATAAAAAACATAAATATACATCTAAATATAGAAGAGGTCACCTCTAAAGACATCAAGAACAAGACCATCACCACAGCTACAAATACAAGAAACTGCCATGAACCAAACACATAAACCTTCATCAATTTCCCTATTTTAACCCTCCATTTCCCTTCATAAACCCTGTTAACATCTTCAATCACCGTGTCCAAGAAGGGCAGCTTCGTCAATCTCACACACCTGCTCATTCCATTCCACAAATTAGCAACCTCTTCATCGCTTTTCAGTCGGTTCTTGATGATCCCCATTTCTCTAAGCAACTTCACATCTTCTTTGGTATCAATAATCCCATTCATCAACTCGATGTAACGAGTCAAAATCAACGGCCCAGATGCTTTGCATACCTCGTAAGCGACCAGATTTCTTAATACGACATCTGTATTTACATCAAAACTCACGATGGGTAGAAATAACGTAGATGTCTTATTATCAAAGTCAATGGTCAAGATCCCACCCGATGAGGGAGAAAATCCGAAGCCCGCTTTAACAAGCTCGGTGACCGAAGGGATCGAGATTTCCTCCATTAATGGTGGTTTACTAGTACATTCTACGCTTGAAATTTGTTTATCTTCATCATAACATACTTGTTGTTTCAAGATTCTTACCATGGATGTGTTGGAAATGATCGCGAGAGGGAAATTTACTAAAAGTTTAACGGGTTCTGAAGATATCAATCTTTTAACAAAGTTCTGTATGGCATTGATGATTCGTTGGAATTTGTGTCGACTTTCTTGTACTTGTTCTTCATCGTGACCTTCATTAGTTGTTTCATACCATTGTTGTTTGATGTTGGGATCAATGATCATGTGGTATAGAAACTCTAGCACATGGGCACAATCTTCACTGGAGTGAAGATTGCACTCTTGATACACAACCGTAAAAGGCGAAAGCTCTTTATGCAACCCTAACAAAGTCGAAGTTAAATATTTCTGAGCAGATTCGGAAGATTGAGATTTGAATTTGAATTCCAACATCTTTTCCAAAAGAAAAATTGGAATCTGATTCTCTAACATCACAATATCTCTAAGAATTGCATCATGCGCAAATTTTCTATATGGAAAATCAACTAAATGTGACATTCTTGATGTTACTCGTGAGATCAATCTTCCTTTTTCAATATTGTAAACATCAAGACACTCGAGCAAGAAAGAAACATCAAGGGCCATCATCCAAGCTACGGTTTCACCATCAAAATGTAGATACTTATGGTAACATGCTCTGATCTTTGGCTCTAAAACCACAAACTGATCAACAATTTGTTGAAACTTGACATTGCTACCTTGCATTTGTTTTTGACATCTTTTAGCAGCAGAAAGCTTGTATCTTTCCATTTCATAGAGCTCGGGTCGCCGATGGTGGTAAGGGCCTAATGCTACTTGTTGTGGAATGTAACATTCAGGTTTTGTGGAAACTAGGCCGATTGGGACATTGAATATACTCACCGGGATATCAGTATCTTCTTCTACGTCTTCATCGATGGCTTGACGAATTGTAAGGATCCACCGCTGGTCACCGGAAATTGGATTTGAGTTTGAATTCATGGTGAGATTTTGAACATTTGATGTCGTATGTGGTTTCTCTTGCAGGTAAGATAAATTTAGGTGATGAAGTTTAATAAGGTTTAATGAAGAAATAAACATCAATAGGTGGTAACATATTCCAGTTAATTAATTACTAGTTTACAACCTTAACTCAGGTCCAATTTAATGCAAGTGGTAACGCCATTTTTGATATCATGTACCCTTCCACCTATTTAGTGGAATAGGGTAAATAGTTTGGTTAGGATGGGTGAAAAAGCTAAAATCTGCTATTATTCCTCAGCAACAAACTCTGTTCTTTTTTTGTCCGCTGATATGGGTATATGCTAGCTTTTGGTAATAATTTTGCAATTTCAAAAAAGGGAGTAGCTTATGATTAGACTGAAACTGAATTACATCATCCTACAATTCAATTATAGTAATGGAACAAAATTACAACTGCTCAATTCAAGCATTGTCTACATAGGAATGTTGAAAAGTAATAATTAGTAAAAACAAGACCAGATTCAATTGTTTAGTTAACTACATAACAAAAACTTTCCAAATAACCATGCCTTAGGCAGGATAGAACTTGGGAGCCACCTATTAATTGAGTAGACTTTTGCAGATCATAAGTTTTGAGAGATGGAATGTTGAAAACATGCTCTTGATATGTGGGAGACTAATTGATTGAAGATTTCTAGATGATTTATTCCAAAACCTCAGCAGCTTCAACAGCTACGAAATCTTAGAGACCTTTACATAAAACGGGAGAATTGGTGTGAGAAATTTGAGATCTTACTATAGCCACAAAGGTTGTACAGAGTTTAACTCCTAACAGATTGCAAGCAACAACATATTCACTTATAATCACTACTAGGGTATTATTGTGCATCACCATCATACATATATCAAACAGAAAAATTCAGATTGATACAAAAGTAAATTGATGTTTATAATGTAACACGAGGTCCTACTTGCGGAAGATCATACAAGGCTTTCTTAGTGAATCATAAATGAAGTAACAGCATGCATACATACAATCTTCAACCAAGTTTAGCCACCATCTGCGCCAGTAAGGATTGATGTAAAGAAGCGCAAAAAATCCCAACAAGAACACAACACATGTTGAACTAGAACTTCCATAGAAACACGTCATATCGATATCATACCATTTCTCAGTGCGTTTTTCTTCTTTAAAAGCCTGCAACTGAGTTCTGCATCTATTGTCTAGTGGTGGTCCACAAAGAAGTGGATTGCCTTGGTAGCTCGCTTTCGTAAAGGTACTAAACTGTCCTTTCCTTTCTGGGAGTCTACCCGACAAATTGTTGTGAGACACATCGAAAAAAGATAGAAAATTGATCCGAATCAGTTCTGATGGAACTTTGTCAGTCAATCCATTTGAGGAAAGGTCCAAGCTCTCCATATTTGCAAGATTTGAGAAGCTCACTGGAATGGGTCCAGTCAGCTGATTGTGAGACAGGTTTAAAGCGCGAATCTGGCTCAACCCCCCAAGTTCTTGTGGAATTTCACCTGTAAGTTTGTTACTAGATAGATCCAATCCTGTCATGTAATCAAGGATGCCACCCTTGTAGCTGAGAAAGAGCCTTTTTGTTGTATATTGAATTTCATCTTGTGTTTCCAATACTTCACTGTTGAGGTAGATAGGATGCATCCCCAATAGAATACTCCCATAATGGGGAGAGGAATCAAGGCTATACCTCACCATCACATTTTTGAAGAAAGCAAGGTCGGTTGGGCCAGTAATATTGTGAAGGCAGCTAGGTACCGAACCAGAAAGTGAGTTACCAGATAAGTCTAACAAACTCACTTTACTTAATTGACACAACTGCTTCGGGATGGAATCACTCAAGTTGTTTTTTCTTAAAAGAAGAATTCTTAAATTGGATAATTCACCAAGAAATGTAGGAATCCTGCCTGACACGGAGTTGTTGCCAATGTCCAAAGTCAAAACCTGAGTCAAATTACGAAAGGATTTGGGTATTGATCCAATGAATTTGTTGGAACCCAAAAGAAGATGCTTCATATTTTGCAAATTCAAACAGGACGGGATGGGTCCGGAGAAAGAATTTTGCGAAATATCAAGAAATGAAAATGGAGCTGCTCCACAAGGAAACGGGCCTTGGAAACTATTATTTCTCACCACCAATTCAGACAAGCTACTCATGTTGCCTATCCAATCAGGGATGATGCCTGTAAACAAGTTATTGCTAATATCCAAAACCTTCAGAGATTCAAGCTTTTCCTTGTTGCTCTTATTTCCAATTTTCCCTGTGAAATGGTTGCTATCTAAGTAAACCAAATAGAGGCTGCCCCAGGTTAAGTTTCCTGAGAGTACCTGGCCGTGCAATTTGTTCCTTGATAGTTTTAAGATCATCAAACTAGACTTTTTTGTAAAGAATCCCTTTGGTATTTCTCCTGATAACTCATTGTCTGATAAATCCAGCATCAATAATTCACTCAATTCACCGACTGAGGATGGGATAACACCACTTAAACTATTCATGGACAAATTCAAATGCCCTATGTTGGGAAAGAACTTTGGTATATCGTCAGGAATAGTACCTATCATGCGATTTCCAGACATATCCAACTCCAGCATATTAGCATTCCTATACAAAGGCATACCGACAAACAAGTTGTTCCTTAGAACAAGACGTTCCAGATACGTGTTGTTTTTAATCAACCAATTTGGGAAGTGTCCCTCCAAGGAGCTGTGAGACATGTCTACTTCCTGTAACTTGTGCTGGTGAAGTAGAAACCCAGGAATAACAAATCCTTTAGGCATTTTCATATTACAATTAGATAGCTCAAGGATTTTCAACTGGAACATTGGAATCCAACCTATAGGCTCTTCGGTTTCCACCTCAAATCTGTCATTATCACTTCTAAACAAAACCACCTCAAGCTTTACATGATCGGCAAAGGAACTGAACGAGAATGAACCTTCAAATAAGTTATGACTAAAATCAATGTACTCTAGAGATGTAAGATTAGCAACAAGTGATGGCACAATTATCCCCGATAATCGATTTGAAGAAATATCCAACAACTTAAGAGATGATAGATTTTCAAACACTGAGGCAGAGTTCGATGGAGCATGTTGCCACTAAGATCCAACTCATGGAGGTTCTTCAACTCACATAACCCTGTCAAACAAGAGAAAAAAAATGTTCTGCGTAAGCCATGAAACTCAAAGGGTAAGTTACAAAAGATTAACCTTCCAAAAATATATATGACTTTCATTTGCATGGTTATACGCCTTCAAAAAGATCAACCATCGAGGAAAGGTAATGTTGCAAAATAATCATAACACTGAAATGTTCATACTTTAGATAACTTACCATGATCTGATAATGATCCATTAAGATAATTGTAAGCGAATGAGACAGCTCTTAAGGAAGATAATGCTGCTGATGGGACGATCCCAACAAAACTGTTGCCACTCAAATCTAAAACCTCCAGATGGTGGAAAGATGCAAAAGCTGGATTGAAACAAGAGAAATGTTGGTTACTAAATAAAACTGAAGAAGATTGTGATCCGTATTTCACACAGAATAAAGAAGTACAGGGCCTTAATTTATACTAGAGCCTATCTCACTAATCTAGGCAACTATTTAAACATGGAAATTATACACCTTGATTTACTCCTAATTGACAGCCTAATATACAACTAACTAGATTATGACCCGCGTTAAACGCGGGGAACGCATAAATAAAATAGAAATGTATATAGATATTGCAAAATAATTATAAAAAAATCAAAGTTATTGGAATTATTGAAATGTGTATAAAATACACCGAGGTTGGTAAATATATATAGTCGTTGAAGGGCTTCTTTGTAGACAACATTTTTTGTTTTATTAGTTGAACGACCTTCATCGCCACAAAGTACCTTCAAACCTTTTTTACTTGTGACACCGGAAACAACTACATATAGTTAACCATGCGCAAAAACGGATCTACACAAGTATAATCAAACGTTTGACAACTTATTTATGTTTATTTGAAATGAACCACATACCCCCCCCCCCTCCCCAATATTAAATATAAAAAAACTCTAACAAAGAAATATAAAAATATTTATGTTTGCTCGATTTAGATATTGCCCATGACTTATTGAAAATGTCAAAATACATAATTGACACACAACTTACTTGTTATTATGAGACGAATTAAACAATTTAAACACATGATGATTTTTTAATTTTTATTTTATGACAATGATAAAATAATGGAAAAATGAATGCTTACTTCAAGACATTTGCGGACGTTTGAGTAAGGTCTATGGTCTTAACTGCCGAGTATTCATATCTTTCACATATAGCTATTAAATGGTTATTCAAGATGAATTAAAAGTTCATTGCTATTTCTTGCCAATTTAGAAGTATGTTTCGACCATTTTTGCATCAGATAAAAAACATATAGGTTCTTTTAGTATTACCGCAATCCTACTTTCATATAAAATTACTTTTTTCGCATTAGATCAAACTCGGTGTTTTTAAGCATTATTATCATCCTATATTATACATTCTTGATAGTTTTAAAAGTTCGTTGCAATTTCTCATTTCTTTTTGAAAGTTCATTGTTATTTCTTGTTGCTTTTAGAAATAAGTTTTAGACTATTTTTTGTATGAAACCAAATTCGAAGGTTATTTTTGCATTATTACCATCGTATATGTTACATTTCATTTTTATTATTTGAATATAGTTTTTGTAGTTCAGAACCGATACGAATATAAAAATAATGACTACATATTAACCGACTCTCTATCATGTATAATTAAAAATCAAGACACTATAATCATAATTTATTGATGTTAGTTAATATGTAATTTATTTGGGGATGAGGTTAGTTTTTGGTTATTTATTTGGGAAGTATAATATGTATTTTGCATTACAAGTGTTTATCTTTTAAATTTAGCATTTATTACTTTAGAATTTTATTTTGGCTTGAAATAACCATGATCATCCCATATTTAATATTTTTCTCTTCTTGCACCTTTACTTCCTACTGATTTGCATTCACTAAATCAAGATTTAACATTTTTTTTAAAACAAATATGGACAATAAACTATTAAACTCAATGGATATGCTAAAAGAGACATGAGACTTGCCTTTTGTGAGATCAATAATACCAAATTGGACCACTTTCTGCAAAATAATTTAAGAACCGAAGAAAACCTGATTGCCCAGATATCTAATATCATTATTTAAGTCATAACCTGTTATATGCCGACAAAATTGAAATTTTCAGCCAAAACTCTATTACATGCCATCAAAGTTGAAAAAAGATCCTTTAAAGTTAGATTATGGTATTAATTTAAAAAATTGTCTTTCACTTTTTGTTGGATGTATTTTTTGATGACAAGAACAATTATCAGTCCAAACATAATCCGTAAAAACCATCATTGCCAAATCATAGATCGCTTCATCAACAAAATAGAATACCACCGTCGTAGATGATAATCAAGTTAGAACATCTTTTTCTAAAAGATCAAGAAATTGACAATTTATTAGAATCTTATCACGCTGATAAAATTCATAACAAAGTGACATAGATTGAATCGATAGTTTACAATAAATATAAAAAATGAAGCCCTATCAGAGATAGAAAAACCTGAGGATGAGACAAAAAAAAATGTAACACTACAAAGTTGCAAACATAAAAAACACATGATGCTAAAAATCTAGAAAAAAAAAACCAAAATTTATACCTGGTTGTGAGGTGAGCGTAGAGAACTTGTGTGAGATTCTTTGAGACATTTCGTCAAACACCTAAGGCGTCTGTTCTAATAACCCATATTTTGAATGTAACATGACAAAAAAATCCAATGTTACAGGAAAGTATAGAAATGAACTAAATTAACATGTATTTTAGATTATACAAATTATTTTGAACAATGTTCCTTCAAAAATATACTTATTTTGTTTCATACCTACATACAAAGTTAAATAAAAAAATGTTAATTGTAATTATGCAATTTAATTCTACAATCAAATAAAAAAAGACAAAACTGCAAAAATGGTCCCTGTGGTATGCATTTTTTGTGGGTTTTAGTTCAAACCTCGACTTTTTAGATTAGTGGTCCTTTTGGACTAGTTTGTATGTGAAAATAGTCCCTGTGAAAATTGAAATGACTATAATACCCTTGGGATATTTATTTTTCATTTTCTTTCATTATTTTAAAATCTAATACTATTTATTTAATTATTTTAACAATTAAAAAATAATAATGGACCTCTCTCTCTCTCTCTCTCTCTCTCAAAATCAACATTCGAGACAAGCATTTCTCCTTTTTTCTTCTTTGTCCCCTCCAAACACACACAAAAACACATAAAAAAATTCTTCATTTTCAGGGATGAGATCGGAGACGTGACCAGATTTTGAAGACAAACATTTCTCTGGCAATGCTAGGGCTTGCTTTAACAGACGGCTCCGACTCCATCGTGTGTGACTTGAAGGCAACTCATCTGAGGAGGAGCTCATCGTCTTCTGACGAGGATATCAGAGACATGAACCCGAGAACCCTTTAACTCGATCTGAAAACCCTTCATCAGATCTGATCGTGTGTGTGTTCATCAGATTTTTTTTTCATGTGTTTGTATTCATCAGATTTGATTTCATGTGTGTGTGTGTGAGTGTGTTCATCGGATCTGATTTCGTGTGTGTGTGTGTGTTTATCAGATTTGATTTCGTAAGTGTGTGATAGTGTATCTGATTTCATGTGTGTGTACATTGGATTAGATTTCGTGTGTGTGTTTGTTCATCAGATCTGATTTCGTGTGTGTTTATGTTCATTAGATATGGGGTTCATGAATGTGTTCTTGAATGTAAGTGTGTGTGTTCTGGAAATCTTGATGAGGCTTTAGATCTGGCAATGAGTTTTAGGGGAGAACCCAAGAACAAACCCAGACGTTGTGTATAGTTTTTTTGTTTCAGGGATGACTTTTAGGTGGAGATGGAGGTGGGTGGTAGTTGCGGATGGTGGTGATGGCGGACGGTGGTCGAATGGTGGTGGTGGTGGAATATGTTCTTGAGTTCATGAAGATATTCTTGAGTGCTCTATGATGATGTTCTTGAGTGTTATCAAAACAAACCCAGAGAGAGAGAGAGGGAAGAGAGAGAGAGAGAGAGGCCCATGTTATTATTAATAAAACATTAAATTAAATAGAAAAAATATAAAAAAATATATCTAGAGGGCAATTTAGTCATTTCAATTTTCACAGGGACCATTTTTACATACAAACTAGTCCAAAAGGACTATCAATCCAAAAAAAGTCGGGGTTTGGACTAAAACCCCAAAAAAATGCATACCACAAGAACCATTTTTGCAATTTTGTCATAAAAAAATTCTATAATACCGTAAATATGATATTCAAGGAAATAAGATCATTCCTAGTTTAGATTCTAACTTCTTAGCATACTTTTGATATGGTTCATGTATTAATATTTAGAGAAACCGGTTGGCAAGGATGTTGATATTAAGTGTTGTATATTATTGTTACCGATAAAAAACTAAGTTGTAGTTTAAATTAAAAGTTCTTTTTTCATGGTAAGTATGTTGCTATAAATTGTAAAAAATCATATAACTATTGCAGTTTGTAGAGGTTGTTGAGTATCAAGTCCAAGTTAATAGGTTAAGAATTTAATATGAAAAATTATACATTTTTGTTTTCTTTGACTTAATCTAGACTGAATGATGTTATATGAGATTCCAAAAATAGAAACATAATTTTGTTAGTCATAGAAAACAATCTTTGAAATTTGTATTTACTGTACAGAAACATATACAAATTAGAATAATTATAGTTTAACCCTTTCTGGATTAAATTGTTTATAAAATCTATCTCCTTAATAGTGAATAAAAGATAAATTAAAAGGCATTTACAACACGAAAAAATCACAACAAGTTACTGTTAAAATTGTTATCGTAATGTACTTTACACGTACATTCCTAAAAATGGTATAATATGAAGTTATTATATTCGACAATAAGGTCAGAAACAGTAACTAAGTTGAGATAATCAAACAAACATAAATAGTAGCAACAACTGATTCGATCCATTTTTAAATTAAATTACCAATTTACCCTTCTGATGAACATAGTCCATACTAAATTAATGATTTAGCCTTCAGATAAAAAATGGAAGTATCATGCTAAAAGAATCATTTTAATATACGTGTCATCTCAATATCTAGTGTTGAATTTCTTTTCCAGCCCAATGCTTTTCTAGTTTCCTAAGTTGAATTACCCTTTTGCCCTTATGTTTCCTTACTTAAAGGTTTTCTGCATCTAATTTGCAATTAAATTAAAATAAATCACATAATTTTAGGAGTTTATTGATACCTTCAAAAAGGTAAATTCGAATATTCCTTCTTTATTCTATCACAAATAAATATACCTTTCTGCCCCTAAACCTTAAAATCGTACTTAACATTTTAAAAAAATCCATCCAAGAATATCAATAACCTTCGGTTATGATTTCAATTTAAAGTTAGAAATGTTGTAATTCAACCATCATATTAGGATATTAATTTACATTCAAACACTAAAAAAATATCTCTTTATTCCTATTATATACTTATCCTCCATTTTCCATTCGATATTACCATATATTTATCTTAATAGATTATATGAGTTCTATATCAAGATTGCAATCCCTGTAATTCAGCCAACAATTTAAGATATTATATACAATCAAAAACAGTAACCAGGTTGAGATTATTAAACAAACAGAAATAGTAGCAGCTCACAATTTGATCAATGTTTAAATTAAATTACTGATTTACCCCTCTGATGAACATTATACATACTAAATTAATGATTTACCCTTCGGATAAAAAATGGAAGTATCATGCTAAACGAATACACAAAAAAATTGATTACCATAAACAGGAAAATGGGTAGGGTGCATTTGCCATTCTATCAAAGTACTTTGCTATATTGTGTTTTAACTGGTTTCCATCAGAGTACATTTTTTTTTTCTAGATTAAAGGTACGTAATATATTTTCTTATTTCTTTGAAAAGTTTCAGAAAAGTAGTTAATCGATTTCATGTAAGCTGTGACAAAGAATATCAAAATATATATGAATACATATATTTGATACAGGAACAAAAAATAATCGAAAAAAATATAAAAAAGCGAAAGAAGGTACTGACCTTCTAGTGCACAACAATAAAGGTTTGAAGCAGAGAATGATGATGGAAGTGATAAACAATAAGAATGATGTTGTAGGACAAGGTTTGAAGAAAAGCAACGATCGAAAATAAATGTGAGCCGCAAATTCAATGATGAATCGTATATGTATGTGATAATTTGAATCTGATTTTTTGGTATCAATGGTTTCCTAATAAAATGGATTTTATATTAATGGTTTGCTAATATAAACGAATTTATATTAATGGTTGATATTTAATGCCTTAATTGAAATGGTTTTCAGTAATATGTTTTTAAAGTTGACTATTTTAAAACCTTTATAACCGGAAATTCAAGATTTAAAATATGAAAAAATTTAATTAAAATTAAATACATTATATTTCAATGGATTTAAGCTAATTTTGTTTGACAATTGGAAAGCTTTTATTGGAATTAAATACATTCCATTTGGGAAAGATGATGTCACCAATTTGATCTAAGGGTGGAAAACATAAGATTGAAATACAATCAATGACCCAGATTGTTTCAGATGATATCATAAGATTTTTGTTTTAATATATATTAAAGATAACATAATTATTTATATGTTTATTTAATGAGTTTTTTTAAAAAGAAAAAACTAAGCAGATTTGAATTTTGAAGCCAAAAACTATAAATAATTGAATTAAATTATGAACAATATTAATTAGGGTTAATGATGGCATAGATCGTCAAAAGATGTCTTGAAGGAGATGCTTGCTTCAGTTTGTAGGGATTTGTGTGAAGCCAAAACAGAGGTGTGATAATTGGAAATGCAAGGAAGAGGTAATACACAAATTCGAAGAATACATGAGCAAAAAGGAACCACCTCATGGTGCTACATTCTGTTATAAACACACAAAGCATCAATTGAAGCACAACCATTGACATGAGGAAGAAGAGGATTAGGGAATTCTGGTTTAAGAAAAAAAATAGAGGAGAAAGATGGGGGCGGCTATAATTAAATGGAGAAACTGATGCCTCATATATAAATAGAATGATATGCTTCAATTAATAATATAATTACTAATTTTAAAGATTCTATAATTAAATGTAATTGTGCCCGAATTGTGAAATATATTTTAGAAATTATGAATAGATTCTATAATTAAATATGAATAGATTCTATAATTAAAGATTCTATAATTTAATGTAATTGTGTTTGAAATGTAATTGGTAAATTTAAAGATTCTATAATTAAACGTTTGAATTCTATTTGGAAAAAATGATGTCATCAATTTGATCTAAGGGTGGAAATCATATGATTGAAATACAATCAAGGGCCTTGATTGCTTCATTGGTGAATTAAGGGTTCTCTTTTAATAATATTTAGAGATTTACAGTTAATTTTCAACACTCCTCCTCAAGCTGGAGCGTACAAATTGTATGTTCCAAACTTGTTACAAATATAATTAATCCTTGGCCTTGCAAGAGACTTTGTGAATATGTCAGCTAGTTGATCATTTGACTTGACAAAACTTGTAGCAATCTCCCGTGAAAGAATTTTATGTCGAATAAAATGGCAGTCAATCTCTATGTGCTTGGTTCGTTCATGAAAGACCGGATTTGATGCAATATGAAGAGCAGCTTGATTGTCGCATATCAACTACATCAGTTGAACCTTTATAAGTTTCAACTCTTCAAGGAAATGCTTCGTCCATATAAGCTCACATGTTGCTTTTGCCATGGCTCGATATTCGGCTTCGGCAGTTGATAAAGCAACCACAGATTGTTTCTTGCTTTTCCATGAAACAAGATTACCCCCAATAAAACGCAATACCCTATGGTTGATAGGGATGAGCGTGGGACGGAACCGGTACCAACCCGTACCGTTCCCGATTTCCCGAAAACCAAATTTGGTTGAAAGTCAATCCCGAGTACCGAACCGAATTAATAATACCGGTACCGGTACCGGGAATGGTATCGGTTTTCGGTACTAGTACCGGTACCGGTGGTACCGATTCCCGAATTGCATGTATTTGGAGTACCAAGTACCGTACCATTTTTTTAAATTCGGTATGGTTTGGTATCGGTTTCTTTCAAAATATCCAATGCATACTTTCGTTGGGAGATAAAGACGCCCTGTTGGGATTGTGCCACTTCTATTCCCAATAAGTACTTGAGTTTTCCCAAATCTTTTGTCTCAAAGTGTTGGAATAGATGTTGCTTGAGCTTCTGAATTCCATCCTGATTATTTCCAGTAATCACGATGTCATCCACATAAACAACCAAATATATGCAATGGTTAGATGAGCAACGATAGAAGACAAAATGATCAGTCTCGCTCCACTTCATACCAAATTTTTGAAGGACCGAGCTAAAGCGACCAAACCATGCTCGTGGGGATTGTTTAAGCCCCATAGAGAGAACGCCTCAATCGACATACCAATTTAGACTTCCCCTGAGCAACAAATCTGGGAGGTTGCTCCATATAAACCTCTTCTTGCAACTCCCCATGTAAGAAAGCATTTTTTATGTCCAACTGATAGAGAGGCCATTGATGAATGGCAGCCATGGAAAGAAAAATCCGTATTGAAGCCATTTTAGCAACCGGTGAGAACGTGTCACTATAATCAAGTCCATAAACTTGCGTATAGCCTTTAGCAACCAACCGTGCTTTTAACCGGTCTATATTTCCATAAGGATTGACTTTGACGGTATAAACCCAACGACAACCGACTGTCGATTTTCTAGGAGGAAGCGGAACCAAATCCCACGTACCTGTAGAGTGCAATGCATTCATCTCATCGACCATTGCTTGTCTCCATCACTGGTCTGTAAGAGCCTCCCTTTGGTTTTTAGGAGTGGAAACAGAAGACAAAGACGATACAAAGGCAGTATAGGAAGGAGATAAACGATGGTAGCT